CATCATCCTCGTGAACCTCCTCTGAACGGTCTCCAATGAAATGGTATCTTTCCTTAAACTAGGGGCCCAAAACTGCTCATAGTACTCCAGATACGGTCTCACCAGCAGCTTGTACCAGTTGCAGTAAGACTTCCCTACTCTTGTACCCCAATCCCCTTGAAAGGCCATCCTGGCTAACTGTTACACCTTTCTGTGTTGTGTGTACAGGCCCCCCCTGCTCTCCTAGTACCTTCTACTGCTTCAACTACTCCATCTTGTTCATCTTCCTTACATCATCTGAAAAATTATCATCTACTGCCCCACCAGCCCCAATCAAGTTTCCTCCAAAAATATCCATTCATTTCTCAGCTTCGTTTCAGTGATTCATTTTAGAAGGTCGAATTTGAATGCAGAATACAGGGTTAGTGGCAGGATTCACGGCAGTGTGGAGGAACAGAGGGATCTTGGGGTCCACATCCATCGATGCCTCAAAGCTGCTACCCAAGTTGATAGGGCTGTAAAGAAGGCGTATGGTGTGTTGGCTTTCATTGGCAGGGGAATTGAGTTTAAGAGCCGTGAGGTTATGCTGCAGCTCTATAAAACTCTGGTTAGACCACACTTGGAATATTGTGTTCAGTTCTGGTCACCTCATTATAGGAAAGATGTGGAAGCTTTAGAGAGGGCGCAGAGAAGATTTACGAGGATGCTGCCTGGACTGGAGGGCAGGTCTTATGAGGAAAGGTTGAGGGAGCTAGGGCTTTTTTCACTGGAGTGAAGGAGGATGAGAGGGGACTTGATAGAGGTTTATAAGATGACGAGAGGCACAGATAGAGTGGATAGCCAGAGACTTTTTCCCAGGGCGGGAATGACTATTACGAGGGGGGCATAATTTTAAGGTCATTGGAGGAAGGTATAGGGGAGATGTCAGAGGTAGGTTCTTCACACAGGGTGGTGAGCGTGTGGAATGCGCTGCCAGCAGTGTTAGTTGAGTCAGATAATTTAGAAACTTTAAAGCGACTCTTGGATAGGCACACGAAGGATAGTAAAATGTAGGGTATGCAGGGTAGATTGATCTTAGTAGGATAATAGGTCGGCACAACATCGTGGGCCGAAGAGCCTGTACTGTGCTGTACTATTCTATGTTCTATGTTCACACAGAGTGATTCTACAGCCTTGCTGACTTCATTGCCATTTCAGCACTCCTTATCTTTTCTCCTTACATTTGTATTCTCTACTGCACTCTTGGCTACTGTAACAAAGTTTGTGTATCCCTTTCATTCCTTTTACCGCTTAGTTTTCAATCCCATGCTCTGGCACTCCATTCTTAAACCCCTCGGTTTTCTGTCAGGCTCCCTATGTGAACTTTGCCTTCTAATATCTTCTTTGGCTTAATATTGACTTCTTTGCTTATGCCTCTGTCACACATTTTGGGACTTGTTTTATTAACATTAACAAATTGTTGTGTCTTCTTTCAATCTTACTTGTTTTGACCCAGAGAGTCAAGATCAAGTGTAGATTCAGCTGGCGACAACCAGCTCAGCACAGACCTGGAATCATAAGTTCCTTCATATCAGTTACATGTGTAAATAGTTAAAAACATGAGTAGACTCTCAATGCCATTGTACTGTGAACATTTTAAATTTGGATTCATTGCTGCTACGTGCCAGAGTTTGGGCAAAAAGGACAATGATTTCTGTTTATATAGCAACTTATCATATGTTCTGACCACAAAGAAGTGTTTTACACATAATGAAGAATGGTGACTGGTAAGTGGGAAATGCTGCTGTCATTTTGAATGCAATATCTTGTAAATTAAGTGAATGTCTATTTATGTTTCTCATACTGTTAGAAGAAAAATGCTGACCAGAACAATGAGTTAATTCTCCTTTTGATACAACTACAGGTTAAGCGCATATCAATGAAATTAGGAGCACTGCCTGTAAAGTTTTAATAAGTTTCCTGGATACTGAGGGAAATACTTTTACATCGAGTTTATTGGAGGCAGAGCTGCTCGAACTTTTGCACAAGATACTGGATGCAGTTTGAAGCAAAGCAGTTTTTCATGTTTAGCAAATCAGTTATAAATATCAGAACTAATCTGCCATGATAAGAATGCAATTTTAGCACAGAAGCTTTACAGAAATCTATTAGTTTTATTAAAATTTGTACATCTTCACAACACATGAAGTTTTGCATTATAAATTTTTCATATTTTAATTATTCATGGGATGTAGGTGTCAGCAGCTAGGCCATAGCTTATTGCCAATTCATAACTAATCTTAAGAAGGCAGTGGTAAGATGTGTTCTTGAATGAGTGCCGTCCATATGGTGTAGGTACATGCACAGTGTAACTGGGAAGAGAGTTCTCGGGCAGTGACAGTGAAATAATGGTGGTACAGTACCAAGTCAGGATGGTGCATGGCTGGGAGGAAAACTTGCAATCAGTAATATTCCCACGTATCTGCTGTGCTAGCTCTTCTAGGTGGTAGAGGCCATGGTTTTTGAAGGTACTGATTAGGGGCTCGACTAATTCTTCAGCATAAGTCTTTAGCAGTATAGTCAGAATGTTTTGATAGCCTGTGGTCTTTGCCGTATCTTGTGCTTTCAGCCATATCACATGGAGTGAATTAAATTGGCTGAAGATTGGAATCTGTGATGCGGGGAATTTCAGGAGGCTGAGATTGATCATCTGCTCGGCCCCTCAGGCTGAAAATGCGGGCAACTTCAATCTGGAATTTTACATTTGTGTGTTTGGTTCTCACATCATTGAGGATGGGGATAATTTTGGAGTCTCCTCCTCCTGGGAGTTTTTAAAATTATCCAGCAACGTTTACAATCGATTGTGGCAGGACTGTAGATCTGTTGCCTGTAGGATCGCTTAGCTCTATTGAAAGCTGCTTACACTGCTAGGCATGCATTACAGCTTTCCCAGGCTGACATCTCATTTTAATGTATACCTGGTGCTGTTCCTGGCATGCCCTCCTGCTCACTTCAGTGATACAAGGGTCAATTCTCTGGCTTGGTAGAAATGGTAGAGTGCAGTATATGCTGGGGTCATGAGATTACAGATTTTGGTTGAATAACGTTCAGCTGATGGCCCATAGCACTTCATTAAGGCCAGTGGGTATCCTTAATGTCAAGGTGTGACTTTGCAAACAAAGTGGATAACCTCACATTTATCTATATTACACTGCATTTGCCAAGTATTTGCTCCCTCAGCCAGTCTGTCCAAGTCACCCTGCAGCCTCTTAGCATTCTCCTCACAGCACACACTGCCACCCAGCTTAGTGCCATCTGCAAATTTGGAGATATTGCATTCAATTCCTTCATCCAAATCGTTAATGTATAAGTACTGACCATGTTGTACAAAAACAAAAATGTTGCACATTTAACTGAAACCAAGGGCTGAATTTAACACGGGTGAAAACGTATGTTTTAGTGCATGAATGGTCACAGTTTGTTATTTTTAAATAAGGAAATCCAATTTCGTTCCATGTTACATTTTCCATTTTTACATTTTTCGTTGGCCTTTTTACAGGTCAGGAATGCTCAGTGTCCAACATTAAATGACAGTTGAAAATCAGATTTCTTTCTGCACACTTTTATCTAGCAGTGCGGAGTTTAGGAAACACATTTCAAGTACACCAGGTTCGAGGTATATGAAGAAAATAGAAAGCCTGAGGAGGAGTCTGGAACATTCTTGAAGGTTAATACCTTAAAATGTTTTACAACTCCCATTAGTCAATAGTAGGTGCTGTACTATAAAATGTGTTTTAAATTCAGTGATTCATTATAGGGATCTGTGTTCTAAATTTGACCCCAACATTGACCACTCTTCTGTATTTATTCATAATCACTGCAGCATTTTTCAGTGCAAGAAGTGTCAGAATGCAGTGAAGATTATAGCAAAATGTCCTGTCAGTTCACTATGTCATTTTTCTCCACTGTAATTCAAATAGCTCTGACTGATGTGGTTTGACGCTTGAAAAATAATTTACCTGCTCCCTTACTGATTGATTGACACAGACAGACATGCACTCAGTTTTGAAAGTGAAACATGCACCTGCTATTCTTTCCTCCAGAGAATATTCTATTTGAACAGCTGTGGCTATTAACAATGCTTAGTTGAGTTTCAAGTGCCAATAAATTTTGTCATAGTAGGCACTCCATTCTTCAGGGAACGAATGGCAGCTTCAACAAGATCTTTTAACAGACCGTCCAATTGAGTGTTTTTTATTTGGTTGACATAAAGCTAACAGGATTATAAGAATCATTTTTTTTTTTCAGAATTAAATGTATTGGGGGCTTTTGTCAGAGATGAGAGGTTCAGTTTTTTCCTCTTTGAGAAAGGCATAGATGTTACACAGAACCTGAGAATTATTTAAAGCTCATATTGGATGATTATGGAAAATGCAAGAGGCCACAGGTGACCTGAGAGGTCATGGAGGATACATAGGCACACAGAGGTGAAATGGGATGATCTGATGCAAAGCTCCATATAGGTGGAATAAATGATTTGAAAGGTGGGGGACAAAAAGATGGTTTGGGTGATCTGGGGGGACGTACCGGTATGGACCGTGTATGGGGTAGCAGGAGGCGGAACAAGGCAAGTGCGGGGTGAAGATTAAGAGGTTCTCAAACACTGCTGGGAGTTAGAATTCTGTCTGTCTGTCTCGGAGAACTGAGATAGGCAATACCTCAAGCACTATGGCATAGCACATAAAGCGTACTGTTAGCTTGATGAGGCAATGTGGAAATTCAAAAATCATGTGTAGTCATATGTGAGTCAGTGGGCTATTTGTAAGCTGTAAGTGTTTGCAGGTAGACAGAAAGGCCTACTTTTGCTCCTACATCTTATCGCCAAGATGCAAAAAAAAAATCAGCTGTTTTATCCAAGTAGCAGCAAACCTACACTCCTCCAAAGCACGGATTTCCATTTTGTACAAATACGCTTGTGAAAATAATAATCATAATTAGCTGGAATTTAAAAATTCTACAGAATAGCTAGATAAATATGTTACCAGATAAAGATGATCAAATATTAGGGTAGCTTTATCCATTTGTCCTAAAATGATCAGCATTTCATTGTCAATAAATCCTTTATACTCTTTCAGATTGTAGTTCATCTGTTGTTCCAACTCATTTCGAATCTGTACACAGAAAAAAATTTTGGTAACGTATAAAATGCAATAAATATTTACTAAAACTTGTGTAAGTTTCCTTGGCTTTGTTTCTTCTCCTATCTTAATGGAACAAACTCTTCTTGGGATTTGACTCTTTAAGACAGTGTCAGCTCTCTGAAGACTGAGATAAAATAGAAATTGCTAGAAAAGATCAGCAGATCTGGCAGCATTTGTGGAGAAAAATCAGAGTTAACGTTTCGGGTCAAGTGACCTTTCCTCAGAACCCGTGAAGATTGAATTGGCTCATCAGCAGGAGACAGAAAGTGAAGGTGGAGGGTTGTTTTTCAGACTGGAAGCCTGTCACCGGCAGAGTTCCATGGAGATTGGTGCTGGGTCCACTTTTGTTTGTCATTTACATAAATGATTTGGATCAGAATATAGAAGACATGGTTAGCAAGTCTGCAGATGACACCAAAACTGGTGGTATGGACAATGAAGGTTATCTAAGATTACAAAGAGATCAATTGGGTCAGTGGGCTGAAGAATGGCAGATGGAGCATAATTTGAATAAATGACAGGTATTGCATTTTGATAATAACAAACAAGGTAGGACTTATATAATTAAACGTAGCACCTTGGACAATGTTGTTGAACAGATAATATTAAGCTGAAGAGGGTTCAGAAGAGATTTACCAGGATGTTGCTAGGACTGGAGGGTCTGAATTATAAGGAGGGGCATACTGGGACTTGTTTCACTGGAGCCTAGGAGGTTGAGGGGTGACCTTATAGAGGTTTATAAAATCCTGAGAGGTTTAGATAAGGTGAATGGCAAGTGTCTTTTCCCAAGGGTGAGGGATTCAAGACCAGGGGACATTTCTTAAGGTGAGAGGAGGAAGATTTAAAAAAAGGCATGAGGGGCAGTGTTTTTTGCCCAGAAAGTGCTTTGTGTGTGGAATTAACTACCAGAGGAAGAGGTGAATGCGGGTACAAGTTACAACATTTAAAAGACATTTGGTAAGTACATGAATAAGAGGGGTTTGGAAGGATATGGGCCAAGCACAGGAAGGTGGGACTAGTTTAGTTTCGGATTATGGTCGGCATGGACTGGTTGGACTGAAGGGTTCAATTCCATGCTGTACGACTCTATGACTAGTTTAAGTAGCAGATTTTTCTGCATGGATGTCAACCAAACTGTTGCACAATTGAAGCAGATGTGGTCTTTGCCAGATGTCCAAGTGTACTTCTCAGTCTGTTCTCTAGACCATTATTACACTGAAGAACTTGACTGATTTTGAACTGTGCCTTTGTTTAGCGTACTGAAGTAAAATGCATTTTTCAACTGTTGCTCTAGCCTAAATCAACTAACACCACACAATCCAGGAATTTGACCTGTATATTTATCTCTATGTTATACAGTGGACAATATCTGACTCTTGAATGAATTACATGCTGATTTTTAAGCCAGTAAAATATGCATTCACTGTTCAAGTTCTTAGATTACTGTTCATCTAAAGCCTGGAAGCTTACAGCACAGAAGATGCAGTCCATTGCAACTGCATCAGTTCTTTGCTGGGTCAATCTCAAACTGATCACTTGGCCCAGCTCTCTCCTTATAACTTGGATCTTTCTTCACTTCAAATGATTATGTACTTTTCCCTTGAAAGATCCAAGTATATCTGTCTCAATGACATTTGGGAAGCATGCCATGGTTGAACAAATCTACATTAAAACATCCCATAACCTCGGATACCATTCTCAGTTCCACTTTTAAATTTAATTTTCCAAGTCACTGACCTACTGCCCAGAGAAATTACTTTTTATATATTTCACCAGCAAACCTAACAATTTCAAAATCCACTGTTTAGTCACTTTTTAATGTTGTTCACTTCAGTGTATACACCAACAGCATGTCGGCGATCATAATTGTAACTTTTTATCCTTTGTATCTCCTTGGTAAACTTACAGTGTACATTTCCTCAGATTTCAACATCAATCAATGGATCTCCCAAGGCTGAGCACTATCATAACTTGGTGTAAGCAACGCCTTACAGAAATGTAATAACTTTTTGTTATTTCTAAAACCCCAAAAATGATTTTTGATTGCTTATTCTATCTGCATTTTCAAGCAAATCACCTGCCTGTTCTCTGCCAAGAAGGATAAGCAGGTATCCAATTCAAGTATCTTTTTGATTGGGATGCAGAGCTGAACAAAACAAATGAAAGCAGGACTATTTCCCTTTTTCCTTTTCGGACTAGATCCATATATTCCAGATATTCTCTGTCTTTCTTTGTTTAAAGCAAAAGAACAAAAGAGAAGTACAGCAGAGGAACGGGCCCTTTGGCTCTCCAAGCCTGTGCCGATCATCATGCTCTGACTAAACTAAAAAAAAAACCTTCTGCCCTTAATCGGCCCATATTGCTCTATTCCATCCCTATTCTTGTAACCACCCAGATGCCTTGTAAATGTCGCCAACATGCCTGCTTGCCCCACCTCCTCTGGCAGTGCATTTCAGGCTCTTACCACTCTCTGCATGAAAAACTTTCCTCACACATCTCCCTTAAAATTTTGCTCTCTCACCTTGAACCTGTGCTCTCTTGTAATTGAAACTTCAACCCTGGGAAAAAGCCTCTGATTATCCACCCTATCTATGCCTCATAATTTATTAGACCTCTGTCAGGTCTCCTCTTAGCCTCCATCTTTCCAGTGAAAACAATCCTAGTCTTTTTAGCCTTTCCTCCTAGCCAATAGCCTCGAGACTGGGTAACATCCTGGTGAACCTTCTTGGCACTCTCTCCAAAGCTTCCACATCCTTCTGGTAACGTGGCAACCAAAACTGCACACAACACTCCAAATGCGACCTAACAAGGGTTTGATATACCAACATGTTTTGCCAACTCTTGTACTCCATGCCCCGGCCAATGAAGGCAAGCATGCATATGCCTTCTTAGTCACTTTGGCAACCTGTGTTACCACTTTTAGAGAACTGTGGACCTGCACACCCAGATCCATCTGCTGTTAATGTTCCTAAGGGTTCTGCCATTAACAGTATAATTTACACCTAAATTTGATCCTCCAAAATGCATCACCTTGCATTTGTCAGGATTAAACTCCATCTGCCATTTCTGTGCCCACGTCGCCCATCTAGTTAACCTACAATTCTTCTATTATAGGTTGAAAAACAATACAAACATTGGAAGTCTTACTGAAAAGACAAATTTACTAGCAAAAGCAGGGCAATCATCCAAGTAGGTCAGATTCAAGTTAAATTTATGCTTTGCCATGAATTAATCTTTTTCTCTATTCAAATATAGACTAAGCATATTTTGACTGCTAAGAAAAAAAAAATCACAGCATCTGACTTTATTAACATTGATTAATGGAGGCCAGTATTAAGATGCAAGCACAAAATAATTGCTTCAAGGAGTAGCTAAATACAAATTGCTCTTCCTACTGTTATTGATGTAAATTAATGATTAAACTTCCATATTGCTCTCAAGTAACACTTCTACAACTTGAAACATGATATTTATCTGGCACAGTTGCAAACTTACATCTTTAGATGTCACATTTTCCAAATCTTTGCTCATCATTATGTATCTTAGTTTATTTTTTATTAATCGTTCAGTTAGTTCATTCTCTGTTGGTCTGCAAAAAAACACACACAAACATATTTTAAGGTAATTCATCTTACTTCATACCTAAATCCAAAAGTGCTAACCAAAAAAATGGTTAAAAAGAATGACATCAGAGTCATATAAAGCTGCATGGGTCAATCACACTCCAGTTTTGATTCCAGTTTGTGTCAAATTAGTATTTTTGAAATTTAGAAATGGGCTGCAACAATTAGTAGAGTACTGGAAATTCATATAGCACTCCTACTCCTAATTTTTATGCAAGAACTATGCTGAATATGAACAGGTTCTTATAAATCTGAAATTAGCTGTGATTCTCTTCACAGTTAAAATGCCTGACACTCAAAGTTAAGTATCTGATTTCTACACTGGAAGTGATTTGCAGAAGGAGGAAATTGGCAAGAAAAACAAAAAAGTATCCCTTGAAGCTATTTTTTTTTTTTTTTTTAAGGTGAGGGGAGGAGGGGTTACGAGGGATTTTGTAGGGAGTCAATATCACTTACTGAATAGTGTATTTTCTTACTCTTCCTTCTTTTACTTCAGATCTAGCACACTGATTGAGTGCAGGAAAGCTGAAATCAAGAGCACATCTTTTCTTGGGTCTGGCGCAAATGCAGAGACAAATAACTATGAGTGCCATTTTTATTCAGACACTAACTACCTTTGTGGTTTTACTAACTCATTTTATAATATTCAACATTTAAGTAGTATTCAATTAGCGAGAGAAGAGTTTCAACTCTACTGCAAGGCAAAGGAGAAAAAACACTCATGGTTCTACTCGTCATTCCTTTTTTAAACATGAAGCACTCAGAAAATCACTAACAGCCTGATGGTAATTTATATATTTCAAAATATAGGCTCATTAAGAAAAATGAATATACGATACCTCATTGTTTAAAGTATTATTTCATTCTCGGTAAGAAATCAGAATGAGTTTAATTTGGACAGCACATTAAATACTTTCCAAAAATCTCAAATCACACTAAGCAAAGGTCAGCACAATGCACATGACACACTGAAAATTGCAGGGGCTTGTCTATGCTCCTTGGTGAAACTGCTTCAAAAGCAACGCAAGGGAGGGGAAAAATCGAATAAAGGGCCATGAAAGAGAAAAGAACAACATATTGAATAAATATAATGTAAATAAAAAATAACAATTTTGGACCTGTTTATATAACAATTTTCAATATTTTGCTTTTTATATATCTATCATTGCTCCATATGTCCGTCAAAAATGATTTTTCCCAAAAAAACTGATCTGGGGAAGTATGCTGATCCCAACGTGATCACAAAGAAATTCTGTGGGGGAGAAAAAAAAACAAAAAAAGGTTTGCAATCTTTACTCACTTATCGATAAACATTGGTGGTGAGTCAGCCCGCATGGACTGCAAGTCTTGCATTGCATTCCATTCATTAATACAACTTTGATCCGAGTTAATGCAACTCTCATAGTAACTGGTCCAAGTCAAAGCAATTCCCGACGGATAGTAATTGTACCTACGCGCTGTCTCACAGGATTTGTGGAGAATTTGTAGTGCTGACCTAAAAAAGACAAATAATGGACTTCTTTTAAACATTTCATGTTTGGTCATATGTTGAGATAAGTTATGAGCTAATTGGGTAAGGGGAGAAAATGATCATCAACAAAGGCAATAATTCACTTTTGATTGTTTTGGCAATTGTGTGATTGCATTGAAATGAATTTATCCTCTCTGTCTTCCCTTTGATTCATTCGTGGGACGTGGACGTCACTGGCTGGTCAACATTTATTGCCCGTTCCTAGCCTTGAGAAGGCGGTGGTGAGCTGCCTTCTTGAACAGCTGCAGTCTACCTTTTGTGGTTGACTCACATTACCATTAGGGAGGGAATTCCAGGATTTTGACCCAGCGACAGTGAAGAGATAGCAACATATTTCCAAGTAAGGTTGGGGAGTGGCTTGGAGGGGAACTTGCACGTGGTGGTGTTCCCACATATTCTGATGCCCTTGTCTTTCTTGACGGAAACTGTCGTGGGTTTGGAAGCTGCTGTCTCAGGATCTTGGGTGAATTCATGCAGTGCATCTTGTGAACAGTACACGCTGCCGTGACTGAGCGTCAGTGGTGGAAGGAGTGGACACCTGTGGATGTAATGCCAATCAAGCGGGCTGCTCTGTCCTGGATTGCGTCAACCTTGAGTGTTGTTGGGACTGCACCATCCAGGCATGTGGGGAGTATTCCATCACACTCCTGACTTGTGCCTTGCAGATGATGGACAGGCTTTGGGAGTTAGGTTTGAGTTACTTGCCGCTGTATTCCTAGCCTCTAACCTGCTCTTGTAGCCACCCTGTTTATGTAGTGAGTCCAATTAAGTTTCTGGTCAATGTAACCCAAAGGATGCTGATAGTGGGGGATTCAGTGATGGTAACACCACCGAATGTCAAGGGACGGCGGTGAGATTGCCTCTTATTGGTAATGGTGATAGCTTCGCCTTTGTGTGGTGCAAATTTACATGCCACTTGTCATCCCAAGCCTGGATATTGTCCAGATCTTGTTGCATTTGAACATGGACTGCTTCAGTATCTGAGGATTTTCAAACAGTGCTGAACATGGCGCAATCATCAGTGAACATCCTTACTTCTGACCTTATGATGGAGGGAAGGTCATTGATGAAGCAGCTGAAGATGGTTGGACCTAGGACACTACCCTGGGGAACTCCTGCAGAGACGTCCTGGAGTTGAGATTACTGGCCTCCAAATACCACAACTATCTTCTATGTGTCAGGCAAGACCCTAACCAGCAGAGCTTTTCCTCTGTTACCCATCAATTCCAGATTTTCTCGGGCTCCTTGATGGCACACTCAGTCAAATGCAGCCTTGATGTCAAGGGCTGTCACTCCCACCTCACTTCTGGAATTCAGGTCTTTTGTCCATGTTTGAACTGTAATGAGGTCAGGAGCTGAGTAGTCGTGGTGGAACCCCAAACTGGGCATAACTGAGCAGGTTATTACTGCACAAGTGCTGCTTGATAGCACTATTGATGACATCTTCCATCACTTTACTAATAATCAAGAGTAGACAGATGAGGTAGTAGTTGGCTGGTTTGGATTTGTCGTGCTTTTTATGTACAGGACATACCTGGGCAATTTTTCACATTGTTAGGTAGTTGTAAGAGTTGCAACTACACTGGAATGGCTTGGTTACGGGAGCAGCATGTTCTGGAGCACAAGTCTTCAGGTGTTATTGCCGGAATGTTGTCAGGGCCTATAGACTCTACATGATCCAGTGTCTCCAATTGTTTATTGATATCACGTGGAATGAATCGAGTTGGCTGAAGATTGATATCTGAAATGCTGGGGACCAATGGAGGAGGCCAAAATGGCTCACCCACTTGCCGCCTCTGGCTGAAAATTGCTGCCAATGCTTCAGTCTTTTGCACCAATGTACTGGGCTCTTCAATTATTGAGGATGGGGATATTTATGGAGCCTCCTCCTCCAGTGAGTTATTTACTTGCTCACTACCATTCACGACTGGTTGTGGTAGGACTGCAGAGCTTGGATCTGATCGCTTGGTTGTGAGATTGCTTAGCTCTGTCTATCAATTGCTGCTTATGCTGTTTGGCATGCAAGCAGTCCTATTTGGTAGCTTCACCAGGTTGATACCTCATTTTCAGATATGCCTGGTGCTGCTCCTAGTATGCCCTCCTGTACCCACTATTGAACCAGGGTTAATCCCCTGGCTTGATAGTAATGGTTGAGTGGTGGATATGCCGTGTCATGAAATTACAGATTGCGCTGGAGTACAATTCTGCTGCTGTTGATGGTCAACACCACCTCATGGATGCCCAGTCTTCAGTTGCTAGATCTGGTTTAGCATGGCAATAGTGCCACACAACACATTGGAGATTATTCTCAATGTGAAGGCAGGACTGTGTCTCCACAAGGACTATGCAGTGGTCACTCTTACTGATAATGTCATGGACAGATGTATCTGCAGCCTGCAAGGTTTCATTCCATGAGTAGGACTATGTCAGGCAGTTACTTGATTAGTCTGAGAGACAGCTCTGCCAATTTAGGCACTAGCCCCAGGTATTAGTACAGAGGACTTTGCAAGGTCAATAGGCTGTTTCTGCTGTTGTCTTTTCCAGTTTATAGGTTGATGCCAGGTGATCCATCTGGTTTTGTTTCATTGAGACTTTGCAGCGTTTGGTCCAACCGAATGGCTTGCTAGGCCATTTTGGAGGGCAGTTGAGAGTCAACCACATTGCTAAGGGTCTGGAGTCACATGTAGGCCAGACCAGGTGAGGATGGTAGATTTTCTTCTCTGAAGGACATTAGTGAACCAGATGGTTTTTCTGACAATCGACAATGGTTTCGTGGTCATCAGTAGATTCTTAATTACAGATTGTTTTATTGAATTCAAATTCCACCATCTGATGTGGTGGGATTCAACCCGGTTCCCCAGAACATTATTCCAGTTTCTGGATTAACAGTCTAGCAATAATACCACTAGGCCATAGAGGCCAGTATCCAGTCACCAAGTCATCCTTTATTTACACATGGAGAGTCCTGGACATTGATCTAACAACCTCATAGCCAGCCCTCAGTGAACAGGATGTCTGACACTCCTGTTCTTATTTGTCAGCCAGGGCTCCCTGATTGCCCCATTCAAGGAATTTATAATCTACAATATCCACATGGCTGACCTCGTTACAATCACGACATCTCTCCCCTTCCCAATCCAAGGACATAGGCTGATTCTTTTTTTCCCATAACTGCACCTGGGGTGTTTTAGCACTGGGCCAGAATCCTCCAACTCGGTCTCTGATACAGGCAGCATGCCACAGAAGCTCACCTCTTGTGCCCAGAGCATCTCAGTAGAAATTAATTCTCTTTTTCAGACGACAAAGGCGTTGAGGTGGTGACATCCGTCGTGTCCATCTCCGATTCAGAGGGATCTTCAACTCTTAATGCACAGGGAGAACCCATAGGTTCCGGAACAGTCAAGGCGCCAGCCATGTTTTGCTCCTACATCATTTGCAAGTTTGCAGCTCTCATATGGTCAATGTACTTGTTCAGGATTGTTGCACCTACCTGAAGTTTGTGTCACTGGACCTGACTTTGCGTCGACCATGCGGGGTCATTCCTGTAGTTCCTACTCCAAACTTTGCCCCCTGAAGTAAACTGTCTCTCTCAGTTAGTAGAGTCCCATGTCCAGCTTTTGCAGTCCTGATGCTGTTTCACCCTTTCCCCCCATCCAGATCCAGGAAGATCAGATTTAACATGGCGCAGAGTCTTCTCTCCATTAACAACTCTTCTGGAGTTATTCCTGTAGTTGCGAGAGGGGAGGTTCTATAATCAAATAGGAACCTGGCCAGTTTAATATCTAGTGAAGCTGTGAGCTGTTTCTTTAAGACTGCCTTCAAAGTCTGGACTGCTCTTTCTACAAGACCATTGGATGATGCATGGTATGGAGCTGTACTTGTATGTCGAATAGCATTTGACTTTAGGAAATAGTCAAATCCCTGCTGTTAACCAATGCCCATTATCTGTGACCAACACTTCCGGGAATCCATGTACTGCAAATTATGCATGCAGTTTTCGTCATCATCATCCCCATGTTTGTTGAATGAACTCTATACATGTCTAACTACTTTGAGCAAGCGTCCACAACTAAGAACGTTGAGCCCATGATAGGACCTGCATAGTCGATGCGTAACCGAGTCCAGGGTTTACCTGGCCATTCCAGAGCTGCTGGTCGTAATTTTTGTCCTTGTTGGCACTCTGGGCATTGCCCCACCAACATGACTATGTCTGCATCCAATCCTGGCCACCAGACATATCTTCATTTTGGGAACCCCTGAATGACCCTGGTAGAGTTCAGCCAGTATCTGGCAGTGACATTTGCCGGTGACAATCACTCTTGCTTCCCATAATAATATGCTGTCCTCTACTGTGATCTGTCTCTCTAGATCCAAAAAGGTTTCAATTCTGATTGTGATGGCCCTTTGGATTGTGCCATCACCCCCTGTTGTTTCAGCTTTGCCAGGACCGAATCTTTCTACATCCAAATTCTGACATTGACAGCTGTGACTGGAAGTGTGTCCAGTAAATTTAAGACCATTATGGACTCTTCCAGTGGTGGTATCTCAGGTGGCGTATGTGCCAGCAGGAGGTGGCTCAATGCGCCTGCATTTGCTACTTGGCCTCCCAGATGGTGATCCTACTTGTAATTATCCGCTTAGTATTAGAGCTCCCCGCTGAATTTGGCCTGATGCTATGGGCGGCATTGCCACATCCTCTTTGACTAGACCCAGCAGGGTTTGTGGTCCATTATTATTGGCGGAACTTCCTGAAACCAAATATGACTGCCAAACTTCCTTCTCTATTTGGGCATATTTACACCCTGCATTAGCCAAGTCCTGCTACTGGGCATTCATCTCCATTAGGCCACCTGTGAGCAAATACTACCCCAATGCCATATGGGGAGACACTGCAAGTCAATACCAGATCTCACTTGGGATCATAGTGTGCCAACACCTTAGAGGCTGACAGCTGTTTCTTCACTTCCCTGAAAGCCATAGCTTGGCTATGTGAACATTTCCAAGGCAGACCATTTTTTTTCCATTGATGCAAAGCTGCCAGGATGGAGGCCAGGTTATGTATGGACTTACTGTAATAATTCACTGACCCAAGGGAAGACCCAAGCTCAGAACAGATGTAGGAGCTGGGCCACCATCGATCACCCTCACTTTATTCTTAATGGGTGTAACCTGGTCTTGTTGACTCTGTGGTCTAAGTAGATCACTTGGATTGCCTGGAACACACATTTTTCCCATCTAAGGCATTCGCCCACCTGAGAGAAATGTCTAAAGACTATCTCCATATTCTCCAAGTGCTCCTTATGGGTCTTCCCTGTTATTAGCACGTCAACTAGAAGAATGGTGACCTGGGGTGGACCTTGTAAAACGTTCTCCATCATTCCCTGAAAAATTGCACAGGCTGGCGACATCCCAAATGGCAGTCTCGTATATTGGTACAAACCCTAATGGCTATTAATTGTAGCATACTTCTGGGAATCCTCATCTAACCACAATTGAATCATGTCCAGCTTCATAAAGGTCAGTCCCCCTGCCAGCTTTGCGTAAAAATCCTCTAAGCAAGGGATTGATAATTTATCCAGTTGTGAAAAGCGGTTTACCATTTATTTAAAATACCCACAAAATCAAACTAACCCATCGAGCTTCACAATCGCTACAACCGGTGCCGCCCATTCCATAAACTGGACTGGTTTGATGATTCCTTCACTTTACAGCCTTCTGATTTCTGCCTTTACTTTTGCTCGTAAGACAAATGGCACCTGGTAGGCCTTGCAGAATTGTGGAATTGCTTCCTGGTCAACATGCAAGGTGGCCTTGGCCCCTTTGATAATCCCGAGACCTTCCTGAAAAACGTTTGGGTATTTAATTAGGACTTCACTCAGGCAGCCATTTTCTAATTGAAGAATGTTGACCCAATCTCTGTGATGCTTTCTCAACCAATTTCACCCCATGAAGCTTGGGCCTGAGCCTTTTACTACAATCAGCAGTAATTGAACCAGCTACTTCTCATAAGAGACTGGAATGGAAGTTGTATGTTTAATCTGTAAAGATTCCCCGGTATAGGTTCTCAGTTTAGCTGAGGCCTTGCACAAACTTAAGAGTTGGAGTCCAGACAGTATTTTGTTAAGGTCTGGTTCTGAGATCACTGAAATAGCTGCACCAGTATCAACCTCAATTAGAATCAGATGACCATTCAACCAGACCTTTATTTTGATTAGTCTGATTTGGATGTAGTTAAGCCATTTAACTGTTCCAAACCAGATGTACGTGGACTTCTAGGGTGTGCACTTCTGGATACTGGCCTATGAGTTCTCTAGTCAACATAGTTCTCGTGAGATTCTAGCGATCTCACAGGTGTACACTACTATCTGAACCAGTACAAACTAGAATGATAATGTGTTGTAATCTGATTTAAATAATAAGCTGCAAAGATGGACATGTTTACGATATCAGCATATATTGTACTGCAATGAGAAATATTTCAACAATTCACAGGCTGAGTCTGCTTTCACATGTTTCGTCCACCCATTACAACTAATAAACTCCACATCATCTAATTCAAATTCCTTCAAGTTTCACTTCACTTTATTTTAGTAATCTTCAATTCAGTTATGTGTCTCATGTTCCACTCACAACTATATTATTCTCAATACATATCTCCATTCCAGAAAACTATCTTTCAATTACAGTGCTGCAATTTTCAAATCAAGTCTACAGGTACCTTCACCAGCTAGTTCTTCCAGTTGTTCAAAAGGTTCTTAAAAACTCATTGCTGAACTGTGTCTTTTGCTCCCCTTAACCTGTCCTTTCTACAGCATGATGGCTTCTTCTCATGAAAATTGCTTAAGACGTTGTTATATTGCAGCTCACTATGTAAAAACAATTTCTTACTACTTATTTTTGGTTCATCTTATTTTTTCACCCTCTTACCCAAAGTCCATGCTAGTTTTTAGAAGTCAGGTTGATCCAGCATCCAGTTGCCACATTAGAGTTACTTAATTAATTTGACCACTTGAATAATATATTTCTTGGTATCATTGCCTAGCCCCCAAATAATATCAATACAGTTAAATGACAACATGAGTTTCTATTCCATTTACAAACACAATAATTACTGTGATATTTTTAACAAATGGATATTTTTAACAAACTTTATTGGAAAATAAACCAAAGTTCAGTAAATTTTAGCAATTAGCAAGACAGCACGATGAAATAAAATACATTACTTACCACATGGCTTGTACAGAAACTGGCTTGAAGATATGAATACGATCCACTGTACTCACACTGAATCCACTGAAGCAAAACAGAATAGCTATATGACACTATAAAGATATCAAATTATTTAAAACAACAGAGACAGTATTCTTCAAAGTAGACAGACAGTTGTTCAGAGGTACAAAATGTCAGTATTGTTTACAAAAAGCATTTTGTTGAAGCTTTGCTTCTTGAACTCATCAGAAAAATATACAAATGTAAACGGAAAACAACATACATAGTAGGAGAGGAGAGTGCCAGTTTCATCAGTAAGTGAACTCAATGTTGAGGCATTAACTGATGCATTCTGCACAACAATGATGACTAACATTTAACAACCAAGCTCTTTTAACTTTTAAATCAGACAGGTGACTGATTGGTCAAGGCACTGCCCTGTGAAATAAACTAGAGAATGGCTGTCAGCTCATTTGTTAAATTAAAATAGTGGGTGTGTGTACATGTCCTTTCTGTCTGCAAAATACAGGTCCCTGTGCATTAATAAAGTAGCTTTCAGCATACACAAGTGCCCCTAACTGTGAGCCTGACTGAAATCATGAATTGGTTATCAGCGCAATTCTTCTCTCACACAGTATTATTTTAAAAACTGCTGTCCAATCCATGGAATCACAATGAATGTTCCAAACTGTGCTGTGAATTTTTTTTTTTTTTTAAAAAGTGTGGGATGATTAGGTATGATCAGTACCTCGCCTGTTGTGAACATTCAAAAGGATGCATGTTGTTTGAAACAGGCTGGCAGTACTTCGTACGACTGCTTATATATTAGGTTCACACTGGCACTGAAATTCATACACCATGTTACTCATTTGAGTGGTAGGTAGAATGACTTTTCTGTTTGATAGCAGCACCTGGTTAATGGAGAACACCACTCCTGTTACTACTGCATATTAGCAGTATTAAACAGCTAGCTTCACCCATTGCTCAAATCTTTGAGAAAACTTACCTATCTGGGACAATCCAATTGGCTCTTTCCAGGACCGAAAGTGATGGCCTTAGGTCCATTCGTGACATACAATGAGAAATTATTTGATCAGGACATCTACTATCTTGCAGGACAGCTTTGATATGCCCTATTTCAGCATCAAGCTTGTTTAGTGAACAAACAGCTCAGGCCCATTTATAACGCTGTCAATAAGGCCAATTTTATAGCACATGGAATTGTAGAAATCCCAATGCATATAACGAACAGCAAAGATATGTTTGTGACAGACAGTAATAGAGAATCCCTGCTGATTTCTCAACTAGGACATCAAGGAAAGGCACTCAACTAAAACATAAGAAAATTCTTACATGCAGCCACTGATTCAGGTATAGTATCATCTATGTTTCAGAAAACACATTTCTCAAGGAATACAACAAAGATATTTGCGAGAGATGGGCCTCGCAGAGATCGCATGTCAATACCATCTATTAGGGCACACAGGATATTTTTATTGAACTCATCATCATGAGGTGCAGACTTTTTCTTTTGAAGTACAATGAATACTGATTCACACGATGTTGGTCTGTCAGCACTATTTCAGTGGTGCAGATATCTTTGGCTTTCTTGATTAGTACATTGGTGAATAGACTAACCGTGTCAAATGAGCACACAGATGCTGCGTTGCCATCAATCTCTGTCTTGGTTGGTCTTGTATGGCCTTCAAAAATGTGAAGGAATTTTTCACTGTGTATGTGGAAAACTTGCTTAAAAATTGTTACAATTTGTTCAACCATCTGGTCTGTTAAACTTGGTGCACAAACAATCAGATAAGATTTGGCTTTAAGGGACATCACTTTGTCTGTTGTGGGGGATACTGTGACTCATAAGGACAAACTATCATAGCTTCAACAAATCATGCCATTTTTCAGCGATGTTCTTAAAAGCATAATTTCAGAATTAAATAAGGTGAACAAACTTTAACCATAGTGAATACATTTAGGAATAAGTTTGTTCACCTTATTTAATTCTGAAATTATGCTTTTAAGAACATCGCTGAAAAATGGCATGATTTGTTGAAGCTGTGATAGTTTGTCCTTATGAGTCACAGTATCTGATGAACCAAGGGTACTGCTTGATGAGCATGCCTGTTAGCCACCAGTTTTATAATGTTTGCTCTGCATTAAACAAAATAGTGACTTTCAAAAAAATACAGAAACAGCACAGATGGATTTGTGGTTTATCTTGCATTAGCTCCTCAAAAATTACCATCTCCTTTGAATTCAGAAAATATTAAAATCAAGGATTATTTAATTTTGTAATATAAAAAAATTAAAATCTAACAGATAAACAGCAGTCTCATTCGCAAAGAAGTGGATCAGTGCCAATTAGTACTGCAAGTCACTGAGAAGAAGGCCAAGTAAAGACCAGATACACTGCCACTTTACATTGCTCTAGTTCACAGACCCAAGTGATCCTTGACTGGCACACATTCCCGATGAAGATGCATTTGAAACAAATGGCTCCAGCAATCCTTACTGATTGTTTCAAAGTCATCAAACGAAAAGGAGGTGGACAGCCAATGGGGCAGGGGGGATGGTGGGCCGTCCCTGACAAGTCCCACCTGGAGAAAAGTGGAGATGCGATAAAGCAGGCCTGGGGAACTTGTTGGAAAGCAGGCAGTAACTGTTCTGTCTGAAAAGCAGCATTTCTTTTAACCATAAAATTCCGATTACTCTTGTAAAGCATGTGCAAACCAATTCTTGAAGCACTTAAACCTTATTTCAAAAAAGATGCTTTGTTCCCCTTCCATCCACTTCTTCCACAGAATGCTGAACACTGAAGACAATCAGCAAGACTATCCAGCATCCAATATGAATTAGGAAGTTATGAGAAACCCTCATTGTGATGTCACTTGTGGGAAGATACATTGTACGCTGCCACACATGCACTTACAGCGCCAAGGCATACAATACTATGGGCCAAGTGCTGAAAAATGGGATTAGAATAGCTAGATGATGGTTTCCGACTAGTGCGAATGCAATGGGCCAAAAGGTCTTTTTCTGTGCTGTGGACCTCTACGACTCCAAGACTCTATGACTCAGACAGACCCTATGGAAATGGACAGGAGATTAGATGATGAAACAGCGGAAGACATTCCCAAATCCACCATACTACTGGTGGAATGGCACCAAAAAAAGTTTAAACTTAGCTTCTATTTCATTAAATAGAATTTTGATAAAATTGGAATTACACATTGGACCTGAAAGAGAAAGACAAGCTTTCTTCAAGCAGGGCACTCAATTCAGAAATGACCTTTTGCTCAGCTGAAATGTGTAAAATACGCATTAAAAGCAAAAGTGCTTTAAGCACCTGTGTGTATTTTGCTGCAGTTCATGGAGGCCCACCATATAATCCATTCAATACTTCTTGCCTTGTGCTTTATTTCTACAAAAACATCACTACTTCTGGAGTCTTCTAAGGAGTAAATTTTGATCATCTATTTCATTTGGTGAATTTTATTCACATGGAAGCAGTTTTGAAGACAGTACTCAGGTTAGAACATCTAACTGCTTGTTAAAATGCTTAGGGGCATGTCTGGAGTCTAGATCACATACTAAAGGGCAGTGTATGTTGCATGCAAGATTTGCTATTGCAATTTAATAGCCGTCAACTCAATCACAGTGTGCAAACTTAATGCTTTATCCCAACATTTCTCCTCCTACACTTCAACTAGAAATTGTTTTACGAATTTCATTAGAACCTTGAAGTCTTACTAAGATTTTCAAAACAATGATTTAGCCATTTCAGCAATGTGTTTTTTTATTAATCTTCTTGAGACATTGAGCAGTTTACTTAAAATGCAATTTATATTAAGATCTCTATTGATTACATTCCAAATTATGTATGACAGAAGTGCGTGCTACCATTGAACAATTAGCATTACAAAATATCAATCAAAAAAGCTAGTCAAAGGCTTGAGGCTAAGAAGGAGCCTTCCAACGAAGTTTAAAAATGTTCAGGGGACCATAGTTGAGGATGGATTGAAAAACCTAAAAGGCTTATGCAAACTTAGATGATTGCAGAAGTTTACAGCTACTATGCTGAATTTCATTAAAGCATTAAAATTAAAAGAAACTGGAGGATTCAGTATAGGAAATCAAGTCTTAAGTGCCTTTAAACCTCCTTAAACACTGGAAGAAATCCTGTATCATCTGTATGGTTAGTAAAAACTGGTTAGTTAAGCATGAATAAATTCTTTGCATTTAAATGCAAAAAGGACAATAATACTACAGCATGAAAATAGCAAATTTCAGCCTTTTCTCGTTTTTTTCTTGGTTAATTATGCAGAAGGAATTGAGTTCCTTACCCATCTCCATCCAGGTGAATCTTTGTATCACTCCAGAGAGGAAGGGTCAATCCTATAGTGCATGAATTACTATAAAGAATATAAAGTCACCATTAAAATCTGATGGTTTATTTAGTAATAAATCATGTATTGGTCTTATAAAGGTTCCTGTTTTCCATTGAACATCTGCATCAAAAATGTTCAAAGAAATAGTTCAGAATGTAGATTTACAGTTCCCTTATCAACTAATCTCATTCATTTAACAAGAGGTCCAAGGTATCTATCCTAATGCTTTGTTTAGCTTAGCTGGAGCAATCCAAAACTAACTACGTTACTCTGCACAGTATCATAGTTCCGCAACTTTCTCTGCTTGGAATACTTATCCATTCCCCCTTAAAAAATGTAATAGTCTCCATCTCTCCAACAATGCTTCATGAATGATTTCTTACCCAACCTCTATCTCCCTCTCAAGGACAGTTTCAAATTATGAGCCTTTAATCAGAGAATCTCCAGCCAAAATAGAATACATTTTCTCTACTCTCAGTTTCAAGTAAAATATACCCAGCAATTTATTTACCTCAGAACTTACATTTCTCATCCCTGGTACAACCTAACCAAACTATCAAAGCACTTTTTTTTAAAAACACAAAAGGCTTTTTTTTTCACAAAGCAAAATACACTCAGAGCTAACTTTCTATGCCTCCATTTCCTTCCTACATCAACACTTTATACATTACTTACCTTTCTTTGCTTGCAAAGTCAATTCCCAGAAGGACATTCTCCTCTGTATCTTGATGGCCATTAGTATACACAACTACCATGTATCGGACTCGATGAACAGACATGCTTTCCAGGCGCACTGCCTGTGGGAATAAACCAGTTCCAAAAAGTTTCAGCCAGACATCATGGCTTTCTGATTAAAACAGCTTTGATTCTGTTGTCAGCAGGCTTTGGTTACTCGCTGCCCTTAGTGTGGCAACAAATTAAGAAGCTTTGTCTATAAATAGTATTCATCAGCAGGTGAAGATAACATAGCTAGTTTAATCCAAAACCATGAAAAGTATTCTTCGGTGACCTGAAACCATCACTCCACTTTTGTCCTGCCTCAGTGTAATTGAAATCATCAAGCTGGTTCTTTCAAATGTTTAACATTATCAAGTAAGCCTTCTTTTCGCTATTCTTTTCTCCTGCACTCTTTTCTTTTTGAAAGTATTGAATCTGTACTTTTTCATTGGCACTACTGTCCTCAGTACCTTGCCACAAGTGGTTCTTATTTTTGTGTGAACCATAAAATATGTTAATAGGCTACATGCCAGCAGGGTTGCTCTCTCACAATCCAATGATATCTGCTCTCCCCTATTCACACAAACCTACTTGCATCAGAAGTCACTTGACAGCAATCAGAAATAAGAACTGCTTCTCCTCTCTCAAACTTAAAAAGGAGAGGTAAATTATATCCCGCAGTCACTGTGGCTGAGATCAACTAATTCATCACTGATCAGGGATCAAAATGAGACTTCATTGACTTGCGTAGATCAGTACATCATTGGAAAAACAAGTATTGGCAGAGATAGAGATTAGTAGTTTTCAATTAATGCTGTTGAGCAGTAACTGAGTAACTGACAACATATATGCTCCTCTGAATGGTTTCCAGCAGCAGTGCTTATCTATCTTCTGTGCTTCAATGTTTCATTGTCCATTTAATGTTCCTTTATTCTTGTGGCTTTACTGTTTCTTTCTAAGGGAAGTACTGTACCATTTGCTACAGGTCAACAAGTATATCTAAATGAAACAGAAAACTCACAATAGAACTAAACTGACATCTTTTGCTACACTTTAGCAGTTCAGTTCTACCTTGCTGTTTTGATCCCGTGCAACTGAAACACTCCTACAGAACAGCAGCAATCTTTCAGAATCCTATGTATTATATACTTATGATTTGACCAGGGAAGAGCAGACAGGATAGAAAATAAGAAAATGAGGGAAGCCTTTTTTTTCATCTCAATACATGCCCAAACCACATTAAGAATTTTTAGACATGCCATAGGAGGTTTACTTTGGCTACTGCAGAAGTTCTGGGATAAAGCTGTTGTATTGGATTTGTGGCAAAAATAAGTGCATGCAGAGAGGGCGGGTTCTGGTCCATTCAGATGTGTTGTCTGACAGAAGATATATTCTGTTGCCAAATAAATTAAAATGGGGGCCTAGAATAAGCAAGCTGATGATAAATAAGCTGGTGCATTATACTGAACACCACATCCATAACATCAAGCTTCCTGGCACATTACAACCTCTGGTATGTAGATATTTTGTTCACAATGATGCCTGTTGTACAACTGATGAAAAGACTGAAATGGCATAAACTCCCTTAAAAGTGTGTTACTTGAAGGCCGATTAAAAATCAAACACTCCTCTATGTTGAGATAGCTGTCTATCTCGTTTAGATTGCAGGGAGACAAGCAGTTGCTACTGAAGTCCCATATCATCAACATATCCATAATTCAATAACATACCATTATTCATCAGAAATCCTGTGAGTAATCCTAAGATAATTGTTAAGTTTATCATTTCACCATGCTGCTCAGGAAAAGCATCTTCTTGCTGCTCTCACCTCAGGAGGACTCCAACCTGTATTTGGCACTTGTTTCATGGTCAACCAGTCATAACTCTCCTTAAACTGGGGTAAATTGGCATTTAAGACAGTGAAGTGGAGTCTTTTCACTTCCAAGTCAGCCCTGTTGCCCTTCCTGATAAGGACCTGGCCTTAAGTCTACAATTTGAAAATCTGCAATGACACAAAACTTGGAAGAGATGTTTTTGTTATAAATGTCAAGAGGCCATAGACAACTGGTTGAATAGATGGTAAAGGGCAACTGAAATTTAAAGTACAAAAGTGTGAAGTGATTAATTTTGGTAGTAAGAATGAGGCGAAGCAACACAAAAAAAAGGGAACAATTCTAAGAGGTGTTCAGCAAAAGTATCTGGAGGGTATATGTGCACAAATTGTTGAAAGCAGCTAGGGAGGTTGAGAAAGCAGCAAAAATAAAAAGGCAAATTGAATCCTAAGTTTTACAAACAAAGTTATAAAGTATAAAAACAAGAAAGCTACGATGAACCTTTATGAAATACTGGCTTGGTCTCAACTGACAGTTCCACAATTCAACATGAAAAGTGAAGGTTTTAGAAAGGATGCACAAAAGATTTGTAAGAATGTTTCCAAAGACAAGAAACCTCAGTTACATGACAAAATTGGAGACATAGGTGTCATTTTCTTTAGAGAAAAATGGATTGGGAGGAGATATAATAGAGATATTTAAAATCATGAGGCTCTAGATAGATTATATAAAGAGAAAATATTCCCATTAATTGAAAGATCACGAATGAGACAACAAGACAAAAGAACTAATTGTGACATGAAGAATAGCCTTCTACACAGAAAGTGATTTGGATCTGGAATGCGCACTAAAGAATATGGATGGAGGCGAATTCAATCATGGCTTTCAAAAACTGAAGTTAATAAGCACCTGAAGAGTCAAAGATTTGCAGGACAACTGGGTAAGGGCTTGGAGTGGCACTGGCTGATCTACTCTTGCAATGAGCAATCATAGGTACACAACAGGGAAAATGGCTTCCTTCTATAGTGCAACCATTTTTTGATGTTTTTCTACACTGATTAACGTTGATTTCAAACCAAGATTCTATGTTAACATATTATTGATGTATTGCCTGACACATAACCAGATACCAGTGTACAAGACTTGAGTTAAATTTTATGATTGACCAGTTAGCTTGGGTTTATTAAATGGGACATTGACATATTGATCAATCATTAGGTGTGGAAATTATCACACTCCATTTCAAATAAATTTGCACTCGAACACCTCAATTAGCTATTCAGTCCTGTTTGGTAAATAACAGAACTTTAGTGCTCTATGGCTGTAAGCAATACAGTTTTAGCTTTGTGAAAGCTAAAACCCAGTTTTGGGTAGTAGAAGTGAGAGAGATGATAACACTGTGCTTCTGAAACAGTGCAAGACAGTGGGGAAAGCAGTTTCATAATGAGCACGAGAGACAGCAGGAAGCCAACAGCTTCATATAGGACAGGACAGAGCATGGTCAGCAGTTTCTCAAGCAGCTTGAAAGAGCGAAGGCAAAGCAGTTTCATAAAGAGAAGAACTGACCTGCATGAGAAGGACAGCAATGGTGGGAGATATAAGCTGGCAGCAGAAAGCCCCTTCAACCTGTTTTACCTGTCAGAGCTGAAGTGCAACATCACACGAAAACAGCATGTCATTGTTGGGTGTTTCTTCCATATCCCTTTTGATTGGCTAAATGACTTATTATTGCAGCTGAAGAGTACAATTAGGAAATTCCCTCTCAAAAATACTTAACATCTAAATTAATTCATTAAACAGAATTGAGATGGATCAGCAGGTGCTGTGTTGCAGCTGTACTACGTAGAAGCCAGTGCAATCCACGGTCACCGCATCTGCAGGAAGAGTTGTTACTTGAAGAACATTGGTTCACAGTTGATTAGCCGGAGTCTGAACTGGAGATACAGTAACACATCAGGGAGGGAAGATATACCTGGACTCTGTTGCATTCCTTAGATTAATAACAGCTAATTCGGTCTGTGTTCATGAACAGGAGGTTGGGACTCCAAGTGAAACATTTATGGGGATTCAGGATCTGGCTTTGGAAGAGCCACAGACAATACATACAAGGTTTTTGATTCTGGTGTGGGTGAAGGCACAGACTACAGACAGGATGAGGGAGGCTTAGTGTGTCATTCAAGTGAGGGAATAGCAATAATTAGGGAAACAGATACTTATCTCTATAGCAAAGACAGATTCCTAAAGGATAAAGGGGATATCCATGTGAAATGGAACTTCCTCTTCCAAAAGGAAGTGATTGTCTGGAATTCTCTACCCAGAAGGTTGTCAAGGCTAGGTCAGTCACTGGAAGTATTTAAAGAGGAGGTAGATAAATATTTGAAATAACAGGAAGGTGCGGGCTGTGAGGAGCTGCTATGAAAGAAGAGTTCAGTCATGATTTTATGGAATGGCAGGACAGGCTTGAGAGGCCAAATGGCTTACCCTTACCCCTATTTCTGACACTCTTATCCAGTACCAGCATTGATTTCAATAGCTAGGATTGAATACCTTTAAGTATGTTTCCACACACTAGTCATCCAACTGACCAAAGGAAAGGTTAGGGCATTGTCTCTTTATCCCTTACCAACTTTATCCTGTCTTCAGGGCGGAGGTGATTAATCATCACTTGAAGATGGAGCTGGAGGTCTCCTGCAGTAAGTTAGTAACAAAGATTTTATTTAAAATTTATTTTAAATCAGAAATCACTTTAGTGAGCACAAGTATACAATGTAACTGATTTTCCCCCATTACTTGTCAATGGCCAACTAGATTAAAAGTGGTAATTATCAACTGTTCATAATAATGCAATTAGCATATGCTAATAATTTGAATGTGGAATTTTCTAGATGATAGTGTCTTGAACTACTTTGTATTGAGGGAGTGGAAATGAACAATTGTAATCAGAGATGGATTCTTCTAATTAGTATCAAACACATTGTTGTTGTTGTAGTAGCAACACAGACTATTCAAATATAAACAGCTTTAAGAATAATCTTTGAATTATAGTTACGAATGATACATACGTACAATATATATGGACAATACATGCACCTACAATTCTCCAACAATTCGTGCATGTGCTTGGAAGAAATTTTGCTCTCTTCCCTCTTTCCCCTATTTCAGATTAGATAAAAACACTGCAATTTTTAAAAATCAAAACTTAATATGCAGTGCTTTATCAGAGTTATTGAGGTCTACAGCATGGAAAAAGACCTTTCTGCCCATCAAGTCCATGTTGGCCAAAAACAAGCACCTAACTATTTTAATTCCATTTTCCAGAGCTTAGCCCATTGCTTTGTATGCCTTGGCAGTGCAAGTGCATCTAATTATGTCTTAAATGTTACAGGCAGCAAGTTTCAGATTCCCACCACCCTCTTGGAAAACAGTTTTCCTCACATCCCCTCCAAACCTGACCTTAAATCTACGCCAACTGATTATTGGTCCTTCCACTAAGGGAGAAAGGTTAGATAAGAAGGAACTACCTACAAGCCTTATGATTTTATACATATCAATCATGCTCACCCCTCTCAGTCTCTTCTGAATCAAGGAAAACAGCCCAAGTCTATGCAATCTTCATGACTAAAATTCTGCAGCCCAGGACAGATCCTCATAAATCTCTTCTGCACGTTTTCCAGTGCAATCACATCCCTCCTATTTAATGTGGTAATATTTTATACAGTTCCAGCATCACCTCCCTGCTCTTAAACTCTTATGGTCTCAATTATCCCAAAAACACAATTATCCCACATCTTCTTAATTACTATCTACATGTTCCACTACCATAATGGCCAGACGGATATGCAGACCAGGTCTCTCTGATCCTTGATGCCTCTCACTGTTCATCATATATTCCCTGTCTTCTTTGTCCTACTCAAGTTCAATAGCTGTTATGGACCAAACCAAACCCCTCAAAATATATTAAGAAGATAGCTGAAACCCCAGCTTTTTCTTATTTTTAAAGTCAAGTGTAAGGCAGTGCGTTCCAGGTGCAATTCGATTGGTCAAACTACCAGACTTGAAGCAAAACACACATTCTTCTTCTACTATAGTTAAAATACAAAGAAAAGGAAGAAAGAATTAGAATAATTCACCTCTACTGGAAAACTTAACAGAATAATACATTATTTAACTACTAAAGAACAACTGTTCCAATACAGTAACATCCCAGAAACACACCCTTAGCAAAGGCAAATTCAGTAAAACAAGACTGTCTCACATGCAGTTCTCCAGTCCAGAAGGAAAGAACATCAAGAGAAAACGCAGAGCAAGAACAAGCATGAGAGAGAAAACTCAAGCATTTTACTGTAGCAGGGAGAGATGTAGAGCAGCTTCTAAACCCTGACTGAAAGTTAAACTAAAATTCTAGCTTGGTGGGAGCTTGACGCCGCCATTTCATGCTGCTTCTATTGTTCCAATTTTTAAAAAAAAAATCCTCAAAGCCTCACAAGCTGTTTACTTTATTGGCTTGGAACAGAACGCTCGGTCCCTCTGTCTCAACTTTTCTTCATAAAAGTATCTGGACAAAATATACCTCTTAAAGCCATAGTATAATCACACCTCCGCCCTCCGAAAGAAAAGAACAATCAACATACAAAGATTCAGATTTACATTTTATTGTCATGTGTACTCAAGTACAGAAGTGAAGTACAGTAAAAGCATAGAATGTCACCACACACGCACCACCTTAGGTACAAGACATCTAGGTACAAAAACTTAGGTACAAAGTAGTAAAAGACAGAAACACAGTTAAAAAGTTAAGCATTACAAACCTTCATAGAATACATAGAAAAATAAAGAAATAAGGTAGTAGTTAACATTAAAGTCCTTCTTAACATAAACTTGAAAAATAAAGGAATAATGTTAAAGGTTCAACAGCCTTTCTTGAATGCTGAGCCATTCTGTGGCCCAATCTCTTCTTCTGCTTAGGTTGCTCTCCAGGAGACCCGAGCTGCCTATTCTCGACGCCATTGCCGCAGATACCGGGGACTTCCCTCCCCACTCACTCTTCCTGTATTGGGCTGTGATTCCATCACCACTGTTGCTGCAGCTGAAACTGCCAACTCTGATCTCCTCCTGCTGCCTCCAGAACATGCCCGGGCAGGACCTGCTTACAGTCTCCAATTGCTGGGTATGTGATGGGCCCCACTCTCACTGCTGACTGCATCTGACGTTGGGCTGAGAGACCATCACAGGTTGCCAAGACACCATCATGGGCCACTGAAAGACTGCCACTCTAGGCTGAAATGCCACTGCAGGCAGCCAAAAGATCCCCACTCTGGGCCAAGAGACCATCACAGGCCATCAAAAGACTCCCAATCTGGACCAACAGACTGCCACGAGCCACTGAGCTGGACCAAGAGACCGCCACGGGCTGCCAAAAATCCTGACTGAGAGACAACCACAGGTTGCCAAAAGACTCCGTAGAAGGCAGAAAAGAACAGAAACACAGAGAAAAAGAATAAAGGAAAGAAAAAGAAACGGAGTGGACGAGCTCTGGTTGAAGCGTCCTACTCCGCCCCCAACTTGGGCGACCCAATATGGCTTTACTTTTAAAGACCTTTAGTCTTACACTATTAATGCACTACAATACATATACATTACATTGACCCTAAGCATACAAACATTCAAGATTACAATCCATCTCAATCTGTTTCTTCTAGCAAAGGAATAAGAACAGGAAAAGGCCAAGCGTTGCCAAAGTTCAACAAGAAGAATGTAGAAGTCTTTTTCATTTCATTTGAGAAAGTGGCTCAACAAATGAAATGGCTGGTGACATGTGGGTATTGTTGATTTAAACAATGTTGGTAGGTAGAGATAGTTGAGGTATTTGTAGCGCAATGAGAGGAAGTATCTGGGGACTATGATGAGGTGAAAAAAGCCACCTCAAGGGCATATGAGCTAAATACCTGAAGCAATGTTTTGACAATGCTTTAGGAATCTAAGGAGGGAACCTAGTCAAACATACATTGAAAAGATGAAACCAAAGTAGTCTTGGTAGGTGGATAAGAGCCTTGAAAATAGATCAAACATATGACGCTCTTAGGAGAGACAATTATTTTGGAGGAATTCAAAATTTCACTTCCTGAAGTAGTGAGAACTCATGTGGAAGAACAGAGAATTAAAACTACTTGATTAGCAGTAAAGATAGTTAACTAGAGGATAAAGCGGAAACCCATGAGCAGGAAAGAAAAGTAAAAAAGCTCAGGTACTTTCGCTGTTATAAAGTAGGTCACATGAAGTCGCAACGTTTGTGGATTAGAAAATTTACTGGGAAAGCAGATGTGGAAAACAGGATAAGCCAGTGAGTTTTGTTAAAGTGGGAAATGAAAACACTGGAAGTTAAAAAGCTGCAAAAGAATGTACAACCTGGTCAGGGGTTGGTTAAAAAAAGTGCCAGATCTTTTTAAAGAACTTACTTGTGTGCTTAAGTATGCCAGGAGGACTAGTAAAGAAATTTAAGATTTTAAGAGAAACGGCAGCAAGTTAATCTTTGATCGTGAGAGATGAGGAGATATGTAATTCAAAAGGAGTACTGCCTGGAAAAGTGGTAATATGTGGAATTCATGGTGAGAAGAGCAGTGTTCCATTATATCAAGTGAAGTTGGAGATTCCGGTGAAAAGTGGTGAAGTGGTTGTCGGAGTAATTGAGAAATTCTCGACTCCGGAAATAAGGTTTATCCTTGGTAATGATACTGCTGATTTACAGGTGGGAGTGATGTCTAATGTGTTTGAAAAGCCACTGGAAAAGCAGGCAACTGAAGTGTTACAGGAGGTATATCCTGGGATATTTCCTGTCTGTGTGGTAAAAAGGTCACAACATCACAGGTGGAAACGGGAGAACAAAAGGACAAATCAAAGAAAAAACATAAGGAAGTTGAACTTAAATTTATCAGAAACTATGTTTTATCAAATGGTTCATTAAAAAAAAAAACCAAGAGGTGGAGGACAAAATGGATATTTTTACTTCAGAGAAATTAGCAGAATTACAATAGAAAGATGAAAAAACTAAAACAGCTGTATCAAAAAGCATACACTGAAAAAGAATCTGACTGTATCCCAGAATGTCACTACCTTAAAAATGAAATCTTGATGAGGATATGGAGACCATCACATTTTCAGGGGGATGAAAAACGGGCAGAAGCTCATTAAGTTGCATTACCCATTAGGTTACGCAAAGGTGGTGCTGGGGGTAGCACATGAATTACCAGTAGGAGGTCATTTCGAACTATGGAAAACTCAAGCTAAAATACAAAAATATTTTTACTGGCCTCGACTGCCCAAGGACATGGTTGAACTTTGCCAGACAATACATCAGGTAATTGGAAAACCTCGGGCCGTGATAAAACCAGCCCTCTTAATACACATTCCCACATTTGAGGAACCTTTTACAAGGGTCTTAATTGATTGCTTAGGACCCCTAACCTAAAACAAAGTGGGAATCAGTATTTGTTCACCATAATGCATGTGTCTACTACATTTCCAGAGGCCATTCCATTACGCAGTATCACATTTAAAAGGACTGCAGAAGAATTTATCAATTTTTTTAACAACCAGATACGTCTTCTTAACTACCCCTTCTACCAGTGACGCAAATTTAAAAGAATTATGTACCTGAACCCCGAGGACTCTCTGTTTGACAAAACTACCCA